GTCTTCGTCAAAACGCCGTCTTGAGACATCTTGGCCAAAATGAAATAAAAGCATCTAGCTAGAACGACTAAGATTAATCTAATTAGTACAAAAATACTAAACGGTTCGCAGACCGTATTTAGATTTACAAAAATACATAACGGAACGCAGTCCGTATTTTCTATCCTAGTCGGGCCCACTAGTTGCCATTTTCAAAGAACCTGTTTTGAAAACAATCTTTCATTCACGCCGTTCACTATTTGTGAACGGCCCATGCAATTTTACGAAATACATAATTAAACACGCAAAACTAGTAACTAACTTAGGTCGTTAATCCAATTAACGCGCCTAATTAAAACTAGTCAAAGTGGTTTAATCCATTATTTCTAAACGCAAAATGCTAACGCATTTACTTAAGCTCCCACTAAATTCTGCATCCGTACTTAATTAATCCAATTAATTAAGTCAGCATAACCCGTAATTTGTCAAAATTTTGCAAAATCAAAAATCGAGGTTTTTAGCCTCGTTAAAATAATTAATTAAAATTATTAACACGGAAAAAAAAATCGCAAAATCATAGCTCAAGTACTAAGCAACAAAAAAAAAGGCATCATCCTATGATGGATGGCGCACCATGGCTGCTAGGCAGCCCATGGCCTCTGCACCATGGTGCGTGGTGCTAGCAGCTAGCAAGTGTGCCTAGCACAGCCTGTCTAGCTAGCTAGCACCAGCAGCATGCTAGCAGCTTGCTGGCACAAGCATCAGAGGGCTGGCTGGCTGGGGCTTGCTGCCTCGCTGCCTCAGCAGCAGCACAAGCGTTCTAGCAGCCTAAGGCCCCATGCGCCAGCACACGCACCACACAGCAGACCCCTCCTCGCCACACAGCCACGCACCAAGCGATGCACAGCCTTATGCGCACCACAGGCAGCCTACATGTGGGCTGCTAGGCAGCCCGGCTAGCCTTATTGACGCTTGCGGTTTTGCATCGTTTTGCGTGCATTTTACTCGGAATTTAATTCCAATTTGTGTGTGACAATAATCAATTCTAAATCAAATTTTAGAATTAATTTTTGAGGGAAAATAAAATATAACAAATATTAAGTCTAACTTAAACAAATTTATTTTATTGGTGCACAAGCCTAAATTTATCCAAAATTTCAATTTTGAACAAAATTAGGTCAAACTTTATGCTTAAAATAAAATGAGCTATGTCCAAAATTAATCTTGCCAATATGCAAATTAATAATGGATTTGACAAAAGGGAGTTGGAAAAATAAATTAACCATCCAATGATAAAAAAATTTCCAACTTGCATACTTGTGTAAAATACCAAGATTACATCTTCCAACATGAAGATTAATCAAATTTTACTCACAAGTAATTGAACTTAATGGATTTTAATCAACCAAAACATGAAAAAAAATCCAAACTTTGTTCAACATGGAATTTAGGGTTAGGGTTCCAATCATTTAAACCTTTAAAAATTATAACTTTAACATATCTTGGGAACTTAAAATACAAAATCACAACAAGTTTTCACACCTTATTGCAATTTATTTGCAAAATTTGTGAAAAACAAGTTTATGTGACAACTTCGTATATCAACTTAAGCACTAATAAACACTCCATTATTATGCTCAAGGATATTTTAAAAACAGTAGATTAGTGATGCAAATGTGCATTTAATCTAACCTTGTAATACTTGCATTAATCAAGGCTTAAAAAGAATTAAAATTTTCGTTGAAAAACGAAAAACCCCAGAAAAATTTGGTTTCTGGTTCGAATTTGGTTTCTGGACAACCCTATATGGACTGAAATAGTTCCAGAATGTCAATTCCACCAAAAATCACTATTTTTGAGCCAAAATCTGGGTTCGACAGCCAAATCGAAAATAAAATCGAGTTTTAAAAATTAAATAAAACGAGCATCTAATCTAATTAGATGAATATGAACCAGAAAATTAAATTCTTTCAAACACCCTAATTAAACAATAATTGCAAAAATTAAAAGGAGCGTGGCTCCGATACCGCTGTAGGGTTTCGTAGTGACCCGACACTACGCGGAAGGAAACCCACCAAGACCCGCCCTTAATTAAAGCAATTAAACAAGTATAATAAACTTAATCAAACAAGATTAAGGACAAGAATTATACCTTTGACGCGTGCTTCGCTCCAAGGAGCTCTTACTTAAAAAATCCCGAAAAGACGAGATCTCCGACGGATCGTACCCTCGACCCGACCCGAGCGTCCCAAGTCTTGAAGGTTAGTCAAGACCCGGACAAAATAATTATGAGTTTCACGAATCAAAGGTTTACTCTTTTCTTAGAGTTGCCTTTTTAATTCCACTCAAGGTTGTATTCTCAAAATCCCAACCAAGTGGGTATTTATAGAGAATGGGGACTTGAAACCCTTTTCATGATCAATGTGGGATCATGTGCAATTGCAATAATTTATTTAATTCTAAAATAAATAATTATGCAAAACAATCACAAGCCAACAAGTGGCAAAAGGAGAGGATGGGTTAGGTGAGGACCATATCCCATGGGGGGGACCATTGCCTTGCTCCCCAAGGGAAGCTTGGTGGCTTTGGTCCCCACCCACTTCCCCTCAAACCGCCATTTGCAAGGCAGCTAGGCTAACTGCCACCTGGCGCTGCCAGCACGCACGACCATCTAGCATGCTTGGCTGGCGCACCATGCATCACCCAGCCCAGCACTTGCGTCCTGCTAGCGAGCCACGCCTTGTGCTGGGCGCTGGGCGCTGTTGCCTTGCTATCGCAGGCACACACACACGCATATGCGTGGTGCGGCTGCCTTGCTATTGCAGGCACACGCACACGCATGGTGCTGCTGCCTTGCTATCGCAGGCACACACACATGCATGTGTGGCTCTCGCATAGCCATCATAGCCAGGCCAGCATACGCATGGCCCTTAGCCAGCCAGCACCACTCGCCCCGTGCCCGCACAGCTACGTGCTTCCAGGCCAGCACGCACTAGCGCTGTGCTTGGTGCGTGGCCTGCGATGGTGCCTAGAACACACGCAAGGCTAGCATTGCGCACAAGCTAGCTGTGCTTGGTGCATGGCCTGCGATGGTGCCTAGCACACACGCAAGGCCAGCACGCACTAGCGCTGTGCTTTGGTGCACACACACACGCACACACGCACATGTGCCTAGCACAACGATGGTGTTGTGCGTGGTGTTGTGGGGCTGCGACAGTGCCCACGCACATGCATGCACACATGGGTGTTGTGCCTGGTGCGACAGGGTTGCGATAGCCCCTATGAGCACCCAGGCACCCAGGCTAGCACGCTGCTAGCTGCGATGGGCTGCCTGGTGCTTGTGGGGCTTGCGATAGCTGCCATGCGCACCCAGGCACCCATGCTAGTACACTGCTAGCTTGCGATGGGCTGCCAGGGCGCGCCTAGGCTGCGATGGTGCCTAGCACACTATGGTGCGCCTAGCACACACATGGTCCACCTAGGCTTGTGATGAGCTAGCCTAGCCTAGCTACGGCTACGCTCATACTTGTTGCTTGTGATTTTGCGACGCTCGGTCTCGACGCCCTAGGCTTGATTTCCGACGTTTGTATTCGTAAAACTCTATCGACTCATTAAATCCTTTCGGATTAATTCGTCGTCTCGGATCGGAGATTCGATTGGGTTCGACCCGAAGGGTTCAGTTAAGATCAAGTTGTAATAATAATTGTACGTCGATATTACTAATCGAAGGCGGCCTCCACCTAGGCATTCCGATCACTTGACCTTACTGAAGAATTAGCTCTGTAATAATTCTGAACCCTCTATCGGAAGAATACACTTGTTGGAAGGACATTATTCCTTTCAGCAACATGTGTTTTAAGAAATTCCATCAGAAATATTAAGGGAGCATAACACCAAATTTCATACTACATATATATACAGTAGAAGCACGAGTCAGGTCAGGCAGGTTAAAATTTAATGCACTCAAATTCCTGAAGGAGAACTTGGAAACTTATATTATTCATCAGCCTATTATAAATCAACATGAATGCCTACTTATATGTATTTTTTTATGATTTAATGCCAAAATAGAGGTTTTTTATTAATGTCCTATTGCTAGAAGAAACCAACCATATGACAGACAAACAGGAATATCAGACCCAAAGCATTCCCCAAACTTATTATTACGCTACTACAATTCATTCAGTTTATCGTCCAGCTATAACAGTATATAAGTTGCAAAGCAGAGAATTTAGTTCCCCAAATATCTCAAAATGCCACCATGCTAAAATCAAAAGAAAAGGGTCCAAATGAGCATTCGTAGAATCTATTTAATTGTAGTAAAATTCTAAGATACAGCTCACCTAAAACTAGAATAATCAACCCAAGATTGTAATTCAAGTCCTGTAGTTCTATTTCACAACAAATTTCAACCCAATTCGGATACTACCCTCCATCACTTCTCGCGAATAGCAATAAAAATTACGCTCTAGAAGATCATAAGAAAAGGAAAAATCAAAGTTTGATTAATAGATGATAAGGGAAACAAAATCTTATTCAGACAACTATAGATTTTGTTAATGGGACTGGTGTCACTGGTCTGAACAGGATGATACCAATTAGGGATGCTGAACAAGAAGTTCAAGCGACAAGAACTTCCTATAGAGCCACTTTTAACAGAAGAACCTCTTCCTAATTAAGCTTGCATAGTTGCATGCATGGAAGCCCCAATTGCAATTATCCTTGCAATGGGATCACTTAAGCTGAAAAATGAGGAAACCTGTCAATTTGCAGGCTCCAACGTAAGAAAGGTTCACAAAACTAGGTTTGCAAGGTAGTTTAATCATTGATGTTCTTCAGTCAATCCACAGATGAAAATCAAATATCGTAACTTTTCAACATATCTCAATGTATCCATTTACATGCACAGTAATTAATTTTCCTGGAAAAGAAGTTGGTTAAATCTGATTATTTCATATCATTGCAATGACACCTAGAAGGGCTGGAACACTCTTATTTCTACATTAACCTAGGCTCGCATAAATGCTGAAGATATAATTTGTTCACTTACTGTATAAATGGGAAGCTAGGCTGCCATTGCTCATATACGCATATATAAGCATGTTTTTTCCCTTCTCTGTACAATATCCAAGCAAATTCAAGAGGTTCCTGTGATGCAACCTTCCTAACAGCTTAACCTGAGAAACAAGAGCATGCAATAAAAGAAGGTGAGATCAAGAATCAATCAGCACAATAACTACAACACAAAAAGAGACAGCAACTTGTCTACCACACAGGACATCTAAGGATGAACCTTGGTATAGATTATATTGCCGCTAAGAAGTTGCACTGATTAAAATATGACATTACCTCTGTTTCAAATTCTCGCTCCCCTTGCTTTGAATCAGTTGCCATCACCTTCATAGCAACTATTTCACCAGTTGACATCTGAGCTTTGTACACAGGACCATATGCACCCTGGCCAACCAATGTTGTGAAATTCTGAGTCGCCTTCTGCAAATCCCTGCAAAAGAAGTAGCCAGCTTATACTCTTATAGTCATCAAGTAAAGTGCAATCACAGTTCTGTTCATATCAGTAGTTTCACCATGATTTGAATCTGCAAGAAATTACTCTCCAACAAGGATATGACAAAGAGGGTGGAGAAAGAGAGCACTTGAGATACTGAGACCAAAAATCATATTAAGATGTAAATTATACTTGAATTATACATTCTTAGCAAAGCAATGACACCAGCCAAACACAGTAATATGACATTATAAGCTGTAATGAGGTCTGCTACGACAATTATTTATTACCATAAGAAAGCAATTAATACCTCCTTTTACGATTCTCACGTAAATTACAAAGAATCAAAACAGCAGCATATATGTAATAAAATCTAACACCAAGATTCAAGCATCAAGTTATGAAACATAATTGATTTGTTAGCAACATTTACAAAATCCATTGATCAATCTATAAAAATGGCACTAATCGGACTGATAAGATTTCTCATCTTCACTACCCAATTTGGTTTTGTCCCTATGATCACATAAAGAGGATTGCCAATTCCTTATTTTTAATGTCTCAACGGAATAATGTTAACATTGTCACTAAAAACTTAAGTAAATTTCAGAAAGCAAACCTGTAAGCAAACTCAAGTATACCAGATACAGAAACAACATTACTTCTCTTAAAGTCGTCAAGCCACAAAGACATCCCACTGACACTTTTTCTATATCGTCTTGGAGATTCAGGGCCAAGGGTAACGCTCATTTTATAAAACAAATTAACATTAAAATAGTTCATCCAAACAACTTATTTTTTTTTATTTTTTTTTTTACCAAATGATCCATTTACACAGAGCAATTACAACTTACAATCACCGAAGCATGGCAACAGTTTAAAGGTTTTTCGACTTTCCATGGAACTGAATTATCAAATGTACTCAACATAATTCCGTACTTCCTTTGTGTATTTGTAAAATAGTTGTATAAAAATAGATAAGCAAGCTAAGCAGTTGACCTGAGCAGAAGATATGGCATAAGCATTGAGCTCACTGTCAATGTAGTAGCAGCTAACACACAAATCATCTCCCTGATAACATCATCAACAAAACATATCACAACACTTATACGATTGTACCACAAATCCACAATGTGCATTCCGTAATCCGGTCATCATTTCGATTTATATCATTGCTCTTTATGTCTCTCTAAACACCAAAAAATAAGTATCTTCAATTGAAATGACTATAAGTAATCACTAGGCGAAAATACGCATTCCCCACCGGTTCAAACCCCCCGAAAAATCAACAATGTCTTGTTAGCAAAATACAGGACAGGGATGTATGCCTAATCAAGGCTCAACTAAACCTATTCTTCCAGTGTTAATTACACCTCTAACCTATATTATATACGCTGCAATCTTAGATTTGTAAACAAACTTTTATGCACAATCTACCATTTCTAGCTTCTTTCCATTATCCCCTTTCACATACTACAGCTCACAGGGGCTATAGCCTATAGGACCCAAGGCTTTCGACCACATGAATATATACAGCTATCAAAGGAATGGATTATGGATATAAACGCCCCCAAACCTCTCAAGAATCTTCAAGCTCGAGTTCGCGACTAGGTAGCCATTGTAATGTCTTAACAAATCCCACAATGATATATACACGACACAAGCATTTACATAATAAACACAACAACGCAAATATGCAATAACACAGAATTCAAACCAAAACCATATAAACAAACACTAACCAGTCCCAGCAGCAGTAACAGCCTGCCTATACTTCTTATCCTGAACATCACCCGCTACAAAAACACCCTTCACACTCGTCTTCGTCGTACCCGGTGTCGTAACCACATACCCATCCGCATCCAACTCCACCTCATTCCCAAAAATCCTAGTAGCAGGTTCATGCCCAATAGTAAAAAACAACCTAGAAACCTGCACATCCTTAACCTCCCCACTAACAACATCCTTCACCTTCAACCCTCCCAAAACCCTATTCTCCTGTCTATCTCTTGACTGCGTTTCAGCCCAACAACCACTCCCCAACTCAGCCCCAATAGCCACCCCCTCCCCTGCACCACCACCAAAACCACCTTCCTTCCAGAGCCACATAAGCGCAATAGACCCCCTGCCCCAGCCCCACCAACGAAACCGCCCAAAACTTGAATTCCTTAACCCGAAACCACCCTAACTCCCATCCCTTTCCCCACCAGAAACCCCCACCCCTTTCCCTGACCCGAAACCGCCGTAGACTCAAAACTCTACCCCTGAAACCATTCCTCCACCCCCAGAATTTGTGAATTTGTGTTTTTCCTATAAAATAAAATAAATAAACTAAAATTCACAAATTAGCAACCAAAATTGACTCAATTATCAAACTAGACTCCAAAAATTACGTTAAATTCTTCGACTTTGTATAACCAATAGTTCAATTTTCCAACTTCGAATAACCCTAAATTGAGTATATACTAACAATTAAATACACGATTAACACTAGATTGTCAAAATTAATATTAGATGATTAAAGAAAAAGAAGCATCTAACCTTAGAGACTACTTCAATGGAGGAGAGAAAGCTCAGAAGCCCCTTTAATGGAGAATTTCGAGTACGCATAAATGGAGGAGAGAGAGAGAGGAAAGAGTACAGCGAGAAACGCTTAAATGGACGAGGGAAAGAGGAAGGAGTACAGCGAGAAAGATATGAAGGAGTACAGAGAGAGGAAGGAGTACAGAGAGGTTCGTTTTAATGGAGAAGAGAGAGAGGAGAGAGAGGTAGCGCAGACGAGAGAGGAGGAAAGATCGAGGAATTGAAGGAGAAAGAAAGAAGAATATAAGCGGTTTTTTTTATTTCATAACACTTTTCCCACTGGTTTTGTTAGAACCGGTGCGAAAAACATACTTTTCCCACCGGTTTGGTTAGAACCGGTGGCAAATCCATTTTCCATCTTTTTTTTAATAAAATAAAACTTTTCCCACTGGTTTTCAAGAACCGGTGGCAAAATGGGGGTGCCTTTTTCAATTTTTCTACTAGTGAGACTTGGTATCTAATACCTATGATAAGCTTAATTCACAAGTGTTTAGGAAGATACCTGAGGCAGATGCTCCATTCCTCTCTTCCTCTTCTCGAAAGAGCTTGCATTCTCTCTTGTAGTGGCCTTGCCCACCACAATAGAAGCAACACATCTTCTCCTTGACCTTCTTGAACTCCCTTCTCCTTGTTCTTAAGGGCCTCTCGGTCATTCCACATGTGTGGCTCGGCTGAGTAGTTGCACCACCTCCATTAAGGAGCGTGTCTCCTTTCCTGCTACTATATGCACTCTAAGTGCATCATAGCCCGAGTGGAGCGAAGCAAGCAAGATATGCCCCGCCATCTCATCCTCCAATGAGATTCCGAGAAGCTGCATGTGTTTGAAGAGCCTAGTCATTCCAAGCATATGAGGTCGGAGGGGCATGCCGGGTCTCAATTTGGCATTGTAGACCTTGGTCCAAAGCCGACGCCTTTCCTTAGAAAGACATCCCATGTTTGGTGGCTTTATCCTCATGTTTGAGAGTGACCTAGTCAAGTCAAACACGAGTCCATCAAAGTTTCCATTGTCACTCTTGGTGACTCTTACATTGACAACGTCCTCAAGTGCTTTGAGGAACATGTCGGGAAGGTAGGAGGAAAGGGTTTCCTTCCAATCTTTCGGGATAGAATTTGCCATAAGTCGTGAGACCTTTTTGCAATTGGAAGACCATTCTTCATGAGCCTCATCGGTTATGATCCCTTTGGCAAAGAAGCTTGGAATGGGAGTATCAAGAGTATACTCCAAGGAACAATTCCAGAGAGTTCTCCTGAGTTCCTCCTCCCATTCCTTGAAGTTGACCAAGTTTAAAGAAAAGGCCAACTTTTTGGGGAGTTCCGGGCACATTTGGTTGTTGTTTGAGTTACTTGCAGACATTGTTCTACAATTGAAAGAATTTAAAATGAAAAACCATTCATAAACCAATAAGTTAAAATTCAAAAGCGTTCATGCAAATTTTCAATCTTATTGAGCATTTTATCCACGCATTAATAAATTGTCCCTTATGGGCGAGAATAAAATGATTCCGAGATCCCAAAGATCAAGAAATGGTTAAGCATGCTTTGGCTTGTCTTAATCATTAAATATCTTAAGGTAAGCAATCCAATTGCTAATAGCTCCAAGCTACTCTCGGTTTGATAAAATGTCGCATCTAATGCATTCTTGACATTTTATCTCTTTTGCCACGACATCTAAGGACTCCTTACTGATATCGTTGAGCTTAACCAAGACAACTTGTATACCTAGTATACCTTACGTTCATAGGGAAGTAGTGATGCCTTGCTTTGGCGTAGCCTATCACATACGCGCATTAGTTCGGTAAGTGTTGTTCTTAGAACGGCAAATTTTAGCTCAATATTTTAAGGGACCTAGGGTTTCTATGTTGGTTTGATTTAAGTGAACTTAACTAATCGTCGCAACATATGAAATCCTAGACATGCATCTAACATTCATATATAACAATAATATATATATAAAGTATAACTTGATGCATTTGGCAACTAGCATGACCCCTTGAAATCTTCAATTTCCATGGGTCTTCATCTTGGCTCGTCTTCATCGAAACGCCGTCTTGAGACATCTTGGCCAAAATAAAATAACTAGCTAGTACGACTAAGATTAATCTAAAGTACAAAAATACTTAACGGTTCGCAAACCGTATTTAGATTTACAAAAATACATAACGGAACGCAGTCCGTATTTTCTATCCTAGTCGGGCCCTACTAGTTGCCTTTTTCAATAACCTGTTTTGAAAACAATCTTCCATTCACCCATTCACTATTTGTGAATGGCCCATGCATATTACGAAATACATAATTAAACACGCAAAACTAGTAACTAACTTAGGTGGTTAATCCGATTAACGCGCCTAATTAAAACTAGTCAAAGTGGTTTAAACCATTATTTCTAAAAGAAAATTGCTCACGTAATCAATTAAGCTCCCACTAAATTCCGCATCCATACTTAATTAATCCGATTAATTAAGTCGGCATAACCCATAATTTTGCCAAAATCAAAATTTTGCAAAAGCCAGAAAAATCGAGGTCTAACCTCGTTAAAATAATTACATAAATAATTTAAAACGGCAAAATTTTCACAAAATTGCATAGCTCAAAATTAAGCAAAATAGCCCACACAAGCGCTTGGTGGGTGCGCACCATGGCTGCTAGGCAGCCCATGTGCTGCGCTTGCTGTGCTGTGTGCCAGCATCCATGCCCAGCGTAGTATGCTGCGCCAGCTAGCACTAGCAGCTTGCTACGAATGCTGCGCATGCTAGCTGGTGCCTGGCAGCGTATGGCAGGTTGGCTGGGGCTTGTTGCATCACTGCCCAGGAGCACGCACAAGTAACTCCAGCAGTCCTGCCATGCACCTAGCACTATGGCAGCACGCATGTCCCACTGCCACACAACAGCCCCTCAAGGCACACCCCTGTGCGCACCATAGGCAGCCACATGTGGGCTGCTAGGCAGCCCGGCTAGCCTTGGTGGCGCTTGGGTTTTTTGCCTTGATTTGCGTGCCATTTCTCGGGATATTAATCCTGATTTACGTGTGACATAAAATTAATCTAAATTTATTTTAGAATTAATTTAAGGGCAAAAATGAAAATAAAATAAGTCCAACTTAATTAAATTCAATTTTAACAATGCACAAGCCTAAATCATCCAAAAATTTATTTTTGAAATAATTTAGGTCTTCCTTTATGCTTAAAATTGAAATAGCTATGTTCATAATTAATTTAGCCAATATGCAAATTAATAATGGATTTGACAAATGGGAGTTGGAAAAATAAATTAACCATCTAATGATAAAATTTTCCAACTTTCATACTTGTGTAAAATATCAAGATTACATCTTCCAATATGAAGATTAATCAAAATTTTACTCACAAGTATTTGA